TCAAACACAGAATTGAATGACCAATGCCCGACCTTCTCAATGTGCTGGATCAGTGGATGAGAACCAAGAATTATTGTTTTAATGACAGAAAATTATAAAGGGGAGGTTAGACTGAGTGAACGTATTAACTAAAAAAAAAGCTGTATGTCAGTACCTCATATTATGGGGGAATTTAAAAAAAATTCAAAACAAAGCAACCACATGATAAAAATTTAATTGCATTCATTTTTTTTAAAAACTGCATCTGTTTTCAATTAATTCAATGGCTTATATTAAGATTAACAATGTATATGTTTCCAAGTTTTAAGATAACTGTTGAGAAACATTTTTTGACAGATGAATTTCAAGTTTCATATAAGTTAGGGATTCACTAAGCTTAAATCTCGCTCTGCACTGGGTGGAGGTTGAGGCAAAGACTGACTTAGACTAGCTTTATTAACATATTCTGTAGAAGTAATTCTATGAAATAGTTTAAGAGCTCTTCAATTATTTTAATAATGCGACAATTTAAGTAGTGGTGTTACATTTTTTTTGTGATGAAATTTTTTTCTCCAAAGCACATTATAAAAAAAAATTTCAAAATTATTTGAATATATTTACAGTTGCCTTAAACTACCAAACTAGTGGTGAAGCAATGCAGCTCAATCATGGTCGATTCATGGACAATGGTGGTGTGGGATATGTTCTCAAGCCATCAATTTTGTTATCAGGTAGAAACTTATTCCCTTAAACGAACATGAATTTCTGCACAAGAAGCTGTAATATAATATTAACAAGAGACAATTTATCCTTTCTTAAGTTCTCTAGAGAGAAAACCAATATTAGTTCTAAATAAGATAAGTGATCAGTGTTTATACATGAATACAAATAGGCCTTAATTATAAATGGCTTGTAGCATTGCTAAGGTGTTTAGAGCTGAGATGAAAATCTGTCCCTACTCCTACAGGCATAGTCTATATTTTTACAAACTTACAGCAGTCAAAAAGAATGTTTGCTATCTCAGTTCCCTAAAAAAGAATCCCTGCCCAAAATTATACATACAATTGTCGTCATTATGATACCATCATGTTCTTTCCAGAAGAAAAATTTGGTGTGGTAAATGGAACTGTCCCAAGAAGTACCAACAGTATGAAAATTTTGAAAATATCTGTAAGCTTTTTTTGTTTTGTTACCTAAGCATTCATTATAATTATAAAATGCAGCTACATTTAAGGGCAATAACTGTACTTAAATTATTTGTTAAAATACGTGAGATGTTTTATTGTTAAGAATAATATTTTATTGAACTGTATCTTTTAAATTTTTTTATTTTTTTTTTACAATAAGATTTAATTGTATGCTCTTTTCATATAAATACAATGGCCATAGTAATCAAACTAAATATAATGGGAGATGAAAAACAATTATAAATTATTTTTTAAAAGATTTAAATTTAAACCCTTAGCTTTAAACCATGGTTATACAGCCACAAGCAGCAGAGGTGAAATAATACATACATTCAAAATAAAATTACTTACAAACACACTCCCATCCTTTGTCCAATGTGCTAGTTAGGATTAATACACTTGGGACATGTGCAATTGAAATTATTGAGTAGTTTCTGGTGCCATCACTTTTTTTTAATTCTATAGGTAAATTTGTAACTTTTTGTCTCATACTCCCTGAAGCTCATGTTAGGTGAATATTTGTAATGTCTTTACCAGGACAGTACTGGCTTTTGGACATTTTCTGTGTTTTTTCATTATTCATCAGTACATTCTAAAATTACAATTATTTTTTTTTATTTATCAAAAGATGTAGAACATCTGATGTCTAGGCATAAATAATTGACACAGTTTAAAGGAATATAATTAATCCAAATTAGCATTAAGATAATAATTGTTTATTAATGAACACCCGTAGTAAAACGATTTTAAATGGCCAATATTTAAATTTTAAAATTCCCTGGTTTTGATATTGAGAATTTAAAAAAAAAATTATGACAATTTCATGTTCCAGATCATCAGTGGGTTTCAGATTCCTAAGCCCAAGGATAGCACAAAGGGAGAAATCATTGATCCATTTATCAAAGTTGAAGTGTATGGAGTACCATCAGATCAAGCTGAATACAAGACTAAAGTTATTGAAAACAATGGTTGGTTG